CTTCCATGTGCCACATAATTGTCAGCCCCTTAAGAGATTATTCTCCCTTCTTTGTATTTTGTGTGATTAGCTTTGATTGTTTTCATATGTAAAACAAATGAACAAGTTTACATATACCTCAAATCTTTGTACAAACATGAAGCAATAAAAAAAAAATCAAACAGTACTTTCATGTCTTCCTACTTTTTTCTAAGAAGTCATTTTCATCATATCACATGAAGATGGGTTGTACTACCATTAATGCTCAAGGTGTGACCAGTGTTGGATAGTTTTATATGATTACAACCAAATAAAGATAGGGTTAACAACTAACAACCCAATTCCAAAGTGGATAGAACATTTTCTATAAAGTCATCATTGCACCTTGTTGAGCAATTCAAGCCTTTGGGTTAATTAATAGCTCCCAGTGTTGATATGTCAAAGCTACCATAGTCAATTCGGGAAATCCTCAATGGCATAATTGAATACCATATGGGAAGGGAATAATAGAGGATTTTCAAGAAGATAGAATGTCAGTTATTATGACTCTTACAATCTATGATGGATAAATGGGATTTAAGCCTACATTTGTTAACCTTTAACACACAAGCAGTGTCAGATCACTCGCAAGAATAGATTAGTTGGGCCTTTGGTTATAAAGCCTTGGTTGTGCCTAATACATCAGTTTAGGCTGATGAATTTTTTGTTAGTGCCGAGTAGGGCTCGACTTTTGAGCTCGACTCGAGTTCGAGCTCGAGCTCGGTATTTGACAGTTGAGCTCGACTCGAACACCCCCTAGCTCGAGCTCGACTCGACTCGTTTGCACCCCTAGTGCCGAGCATTATTATGTCATGAGGATTTTTATTGCATATAACACTTTAAAGAAAGCAATATGTAATGTAAAAATTACATTTTTTAATTATTTATATAATAGATTAGATACTAAGAAAGGCGAAAGATATATGTATAAGTTAGTCAAACATAGATATAAGAGTAATAAGAATTTAATTCAAGTGAAGTGTACTAAGAATGAAGATGAGTATAGTCAACAAAGGTGGATGAAATATTTTTATAAACTCTTCAATGAATATTATGAGAATGTGATTGACTGTAGTGGCCTTAGCACCCTAAGTATAAATAAAGATTTTTTTATTTTATCGGCATATTAGTAAAACCGAAGTTAGAGAGACTTTAAAGAAAATGAAGTATGAAAAAGTTGTTGGACCTAATGATATTCCAATAGAGGTGTGGAAATGCTTAGGAGAATAAGGAATTTCTTGGCTTACTAAACTTTTTAATATTATTTTGAAGACTAAAAAAGATGTCAGTTGAGTGAAGAATGAGTGTGTTGATTCTTATTTTTAAGAATAAAGGTGATGCACAAGATTGCGAGAATTACAGAGGAATTAAGTTAATGTGTCATACTTTAAAACTATGTGAGAGAGTTATGTAGCATAGGTTACGACGTGATATTAATGTTTCTCAAAATCAATTTGGATTCATATAGGATATGTTTGTTATGGAAGCTATACATTTATTGAGAGGTTTGATGGAGAAGTATAGAGAGAATAAGTATGATCTACATATGATATTTATTGATTTAAAGAAAGCATACGATAAAGTTCCAAGAGAAGTCCTATGGAGAGTTCTAGAAAAGAAAGGGGTTAATAATGCTTATATTCAAGTCGTTAAGGATATGCATGCAGGAGTTGTTGCTTGTATCTATACACAAGGTGGTTTGACCAAGTATTTTCCTATTTCAGTTGGATTACACCAAGGATCAACCTTAAGCTCATATCTTTTATCTTTAGTCATGGATGTTCTCACTAGACATTTGCAAGAAGTTGTACCCTTGTGTATGCTTTTTGTTGATGATATTCTTCTTGTTGATAAGACTAGAGAGGGAGCTAAAGGTAAACTTGAATTAAAGAGGTCAAACTTAGAGTCTAAAGGCTTTCGTTTGACTAGATCTAAAACTGAATATATGGAGTGTAATTTTAGTAATAATAGTTCCTATGGGGGGATTGTGACTTTGGGTGATTAAGTCATTAATAAGAGAATACATTTTAGATATCTTGGGTCTATTGCTCAGTGTGATGTTGAAATAGATGGGATATTATTAGTATAATTCAAGTTGGATGGTTGAAGTGAAGGAATGCATTAGGCTTGTTGTGTGATACAAAAGTCCGACTCAAACTTAAGGAAAAATTCTATAAGATTGTGGTTAGACCTGCAATGCTTTATGATGCAGAATGTTGTCCATTAAAAGAAAAACATAATATTAAGGAAAGTGTTACAGAGATGAAGATACTCAGGTGGATGAGTAGTTTTACTCTTAGAGACAAGATACGAAATGAGCATACACATGAAAAGGTTGGAGTAGCTCCAGTGGAAGATAAGATTAAATAGAGTCGCCTTAGATGGTTTGGTCACATAAAACGACAGTCTTCCGATTACCAGTTAGGAAAATAGATGTATTAGATTTGACTTATGTTAAGAAAAATGGAGGTAGACCTAAAAAGACTTAGTTAGGAAATATTAAAATTGATATTTCTTTATTAGATTTAAATGAGAATTTAACTTTTAACAAGGCACAATGGAGAAAAATGATTCATGAAGCCGACCCCATATAGTGGGATAAAGGCTTGATGTTGTTGTTGTTGTTGTTGTTGTTGTTGTTGTTGTTGTTGTATATAACACTTTAAAGAAAATCATAGAATCTGATTTTAAGGTTTTAATCACAAATCAATATGTTTTAATGAATAGAAAAAATTGAATTTGTATATTTGCAAACCCAAGATCGTCCACATTGCAGTCTAAATATGTTGAAAAGTATAAACAATGTCAACTAGTTTTCTTCATATAAAAATGACAACCAACTAATTATACAAATTAATCTATTTATAACCTCAAAAGTATAAATAATCATTATCATCTCAACTGCGACTCTTATGATGAATTTTATAAACCTGTCAATTAAATTAAATCCTCCTAAGGACTTTAGCTAGTGCTAAGGGTAGTGATAATGCATGATCTAAAGATAGCACATCACTTCAATCTTTTTTCACTTCCCCTCTTATTCTTTGTGAATTAGTATGCACCACCCACCAATGTTCTACTCCATAAGCCATGGCTAGCATGTACAAGTTATCCAAAAGTAATTATTTCCTTTGTAGGGTGGCATAAACCCCTTAACATCTTAAGGAAAGTAATTTACTACATATGTCCTAGAAATACCGCAAAGCACTTTAGCATTTCAAGTAATGATGACATTATACTCGCATGTATAATGGCAAACATTATGTTGAGCATCAATGCAATCTTTAAAAGTGAAAACATATGGCTCAAAATAGGCAAGCCACATTGACCCAAGAAGATATGTTCATTTAGCATTACTAAAGGCCCGTTTAGGATAATTTTATTTGCTTTACTTTACAAAATGCTACAATAATAATACTCATCTCGGTTTTTTATTTCTTTTCATACATTTATGTGGTACAAAGCTGCTTAATGCAACCTCCTTCCCCATTCACATCTGGCTCGACTTCAATATAATTTTTGAACCCTTTGCCCCCATTTCTTTATAGAATTATAGAGTAATATAAGTAAACTTTGATGCCCAAAATGTTCACTCTCACATCTTCAAGAAACGGTTGGAGTGATGGAAGGTAAAGAATGCAATGAGCTCAGCAATAGAATGTGTTTGTCAAGACATCCTTTGTCATATGTCACTTCTTTGCAAACTTGGATTTGTTCTACATCATGATTTGATTATTGTTTAGTTTCTTGAATGTGTAGGTTATAGTTGCAAAGTGCATAAATTTTTAACATCGTGTGAAAATCATCTTCTAGGAACCTTGTTTGTTCAAACCATTTATAATATTTTGATTAATTAGCACTTAGGTAATGATATAGTTCTAACTATAAAGTATTTTTGACGAGGCATATGCATCATTAATCATGTTTTAAGTTTGCAAACAACCAAAATATACTTTGGTATACATTTCAATTAGGTTATTTATAATAAAATATTTTATGATTATAACACGTACATGTATAATTGTTTACAAATACTATTATATCCTTTCAGTGAAATTATATTTTTTTAAAGCTGTAATGAATTTGAATTATCAATAATTTTAAAGTTATTATCACATATTCTGAAAAAATATCAATTTGATGAGTATTAACATCTTTATATGAGCATAAAAAAAACAAGATCATCTTCATCATTAGTAAAATAAAAGTGTAACAAAGGCAATATAACCAAATAGCAAATCACTTCCTAATTTATAAATTGCACCTTGGCAGCTAAAATATTAGAAAACAATAGTTATAGTCATTATAACTTCATCATAAGATTTATACAATTAACTTTACAAATATCAACAACTGCCCCAAACACACCCTAAGCTTAAGGATATGACTAGTTAGGTAGAGATATTAAACAAGGGCACCCCCAGGCGGGAACTGTAGAATTATATGCCTCCTAAGTTTCAAGTTTCCACCAATTCAGATTGAGGAGAATATGAAGCCTACCAAGCAAAGCAAAATGATAGATTTGACATAAACGGATGAGCAAATGCATAATGACTTAAGTAGAAACCTAATTACAAGTATATTATGTGCATAAATACCAACTTCGAAACTGTAAATGCTGAATACCCAATCAATATTTATCGTTTTACATACCATGCATGACGGTGTATTCATGGTTTATTGCATATCAGATAAGAGATGTCCCAAAAAGCGGTCATCATAAATCAAACGTGATTACGATAAAATCAGGACCCAATTCTTTGACACGTTAACCGTAATATACACAAATAACGAAGAAAAAACTAACATGGAAGGACATCTTGAGATCGAAAGTAAAGTCCAGAATGTTAACTTATGAATCGGTGGTCCCTTACATAATAATGTAATCATGTTTGCTGCTGAATCCAACAGGATTTATCATGCTAAGTGAACAGGAACCGACATTAATGCAAGAAAAAGAAAAAAATGGATAGCGTTATTACATTTTGGCAGCCGTGATATAGATGCTGCCGCCTGAACCACCACCACCTTTAGGTCCACCATCACCGCCATCAGCGCTGATAGTTCCATTGACCTCAAGCACTTCCTCAATCTCCAACCAAATCCGGCCTCCACCACTTCCCCCAAAATCTTCTTCCAGGCTCGTAGAACCCCCTTTGCTTCCGTAGCTATCTGGCATCGTAAGTGTCGCCCAAGCATAAGCGTCTCCACCCCATGAGTCATCCTGAGTCTGTCCATCCCTCACGAAGCAGCTAGCACCTCGACCCCCATATCCGCCACCATCGCCGTAAATCCCAGTTGCTGCCCCACTAGTCTTTGGCGGTGGATCCCCAGCCAAGGCCGCTGAATTCAGCGCAGCCTCATCCCCAATGCTCATGTTGAACGCGGCCAGTTTAACCGTCCCTGCCACGATGGCCGAACGGGGCTCCAGGGTTATTGTCCCGGAGAGGTTGACCAGGACAATGCATCCCTTAATCCGACAGCTCAACTCAACCCCTGGGAGAAGATTAAGGCTACCGCTACCTTCAATGTAAACATCACTGGTGCGCTGCACGCTCGACTTCAACAGGCATAGCGTGTCGAAGGATCCGACTCCCCCGAGATCATCCTCGCAGGAGCACGTCGGTGGATGGAAGGGCGCCGGCGGCGGTGGCGACGGCGGCGAATAGTCGTGCCAAATAGAAATATCGCTCAACTCCGTGAAAGCCTCTCCCGTTTCCGATTCCTCCTCGACTAGGTCAACAAGATTCGGGTTCCCCGAAACCACGAAAAAGAACAGCAGCAGAAGCGGGACAGAGAAGTGTGGGAAAGACATTCGCAGAGGAAGGCGAAACTCATCAGATCATAAGAAGCCCTAGTGTTCGTGTTAATGGAAGATGTCTACCACGAAAACCCTAACGAATTCCCCCGATCCGAGCAGGATCTTGCAGGAAGGAGGAAGACGGAGAAGGAGCCGAGCGGAGACGTTGCGAATTTCCCAGAACAGTATCCCTCTGAGACCTTTACAATTCGGGCAAGTGAAAAAGGGGAGGTCGTCGATAGCGACGAAAGGAGAAGTAAAGAATTTTCTTACTTTCTTTTCTTACTTTTATTTTTTTCTCCTTCTTTACCTTTTTCTGCCTCCAAAACGACAGGTTTGCGTGGCTCTTACGAAGGATCGTCTTTTTTTTATTATTTCTTTTTCTATATTTATTTTTATTGGGAATGCAAAATCGTAGTGGTCGAAACTCGAAACAGGCGGGATCCGCTGTCTGCACATAACTCCCCCCTAAGCTGACGTGGTTGTTCCTTGCATTTTAGATTTAAAGGTGTTAAAGTAGGTATACAGTATATTTGTTTATGTTCGGATCGAACTCAAAATTGATTTATTTTAGTAAGATCGGTTTTATAAATGGGTTCAAAATTTAGATCTGGATCAGATCCTCTGGATTACTCGGTTGTCACGACCGAATATGTAACCTGTGTGTGCAAGTGCCCAAGCTGCAAGCGAGAATGCGCGAGGGAGATTGTGGGTGCGAGTGTGTGAGTTCGGAGTGTGCAACTGCGGACTGCGAGGGGGCAAGGGGAGACCATGTCATCGCGAGTGCTCGGTTGCCTGCGGGTGCATGTGCAATTACAAGCAAGGGCAGGACCACACGAATATTGTTGAGAGTGTGCGAGTCTACGGCAAGCGCTACTGGTGCGAGCATTGGTGGTGCACGAGACTCATTCAGGGCAAGGAGCTACTCAAGGGACTTGTGAGTTCGGACGATGACAGGTCAAATTCAGGTTAATTTTTTTATTAGATGTTGTGCTTGAATCCGACTCAATTTTTCAAATGGATCATAAAATTGGAATCTAAATCATATATGTTTGTTGAATGGGTTTGGCCTATAATTAACACCGCTCTAGATTAGTTGACTTCTTTAAAATATGTTATATGTTGTTTCCTTGGTGCAACGGATTAAGTGAGTGTGCAACGAATAGTGAGAGGACGTCGAGTTGTGGGGCCGAGTATGAAAGGGGAAAAACGTTGGTGATAGAGAGAGTGTTGATTGGAATGGACAGTTGTGATGGAGAGGTAGTGGAATGTGCGGTGGATGGGAGTGAGTATGAGCTTGCCAGAATGACTGTGGGGAGGACGGCGTAATGGAATGGCACGGCTTGTGAGAGATATGTATGCAGCAGAATCGTCGTTTGGGACGGTTGGTATGCCAGTCATTATCTTAGCTATTCTAGTAGTTTAATTCTTTGCTCGTACGATATTTTATACTCCTTTTAGAATAAATGACAATGAAATTTATGAAAAATTAATAAAATTATATGTCTATTGGTGTTCAAGATAATTTAAAATTTTAAAAGGAAAGTTGAGGTGGCATGGTAAAGGACTTTTGGACATATGAAGAAATCACATGATGTATGATGATGCCATGTTACTTACTATCATAAAATGAGTAATAACTAATTAATGATGATAATTGATGTATCATAATCACAATTAATCTTAACTTTAATGGCTTGATCCATCAACCAATTAAAGTGCTACCTCAGACATCCATAGATGCAATGCTTGCTAAATAATTTGAGGGATGAATGGCTAAAAATTAATGATTTATCTATCATCAATTAAATTTAAATATTCCTAAAATATTTAAACATTTAAAATCTAATCAAAAAAACTTTATTGGATTGTGAAAATGCTTGTGCAAATATCATTTGTTCAAGAGAACTCTTAATGGATTTGATACACTGGGAGAGCATATTAGTTGACTAAGTGAGTTTGGCTTATTTGAATAGAACAAATTGTTCACTAGTATGCAATGATTCACTAATAACAAATCAGATTTTCACAATACTTTTTATTGTTGATTCTGTATAGGTTGTTAAACCTACGCAATTGTCTCAAGGCTAACCAAGAGAGGGGGTGAATTTGTTACTTAAAAATTTCTTATATTTTTAAATAAAAAACCGATTTTTGTATTTTTTTCAAAAGTATATTTTTCAACCACAAATACTAAAGTGTAGAAAATAAAAAATGCGAAAAATGAATTGCACATAGATTTATAGTGGTTCGGTCCAACAAGAACTACATCCACTCCCTAAAGACTCCCTCATCATGTATTGCACTATTACCAAAAGTGACTCTCCTTTTACCCCCACAGCAAGGCGGAGAAGCCTTCACAATTTTCATTTCTTCCTCCAATCCCTGATGCGATAGAGAATCGTCATCCTTTATTACCCTTCAAGTGTCGGTAGAGAACCATTGTCCTTTCACACCCTCCAAGTGTTGGTAGAAATTGTCATCTGTTCACAACCTCCAAGTGTCGGCAAAGAATCGAATCTTCTTCAAAGATTTTATCTCTAGCAACAAAAAAGAATAAATGAAGAGTAGTAACCAAAAAATAAAAGAGATTCTTACATTTGAGTAATCTTGTGATCCCTTCACACTCCACTTGACAGAACTCTCTCTCAAACACTCTCCCACAATCACTCTTTCACTTGCCCTCAAAAAATTATGAAGAACAACGCTTTTTACATCAATTTCTATGGATCTTTTATATGAAAGACACGAAAAAACTGTTTAAAAAACTAAAATTTTCTTTTTTGAGCATGTACGATTGTAAGGTACAATCGTATTTTTGTATGTACTAACATTTCAAAATTTTTTGCGTATGAACCTGTGTGAATATGCATGAAATATTTTTGTGCACGATGATTGTCCAGTACGAACGGTTAAAAAAAATTTCAACTTCGTCAGGACAAAAATGTACCCCATATTTTCGTATTCTAGATGTCGTCTATACAAACAGGAAATTGTACAGCACGATATGTTCAGAAAGATTTGACATTCATCGGGATGAAAAGAGACCCTTCAAATTCGTACACTAGACATCGTCTGTACGAACATGATATCATATAGTACGAACAGTTCATAAAACTCTAAGATTCATCGGGACGAAAATGGACCCATCCAATTCGTACTCTGGACACCGTCTATATGAAAAACCCTTTGTACAGTACGATCAGTGTTTAAAAAAATTTGCTCTTCTCATTCATTTTACTGTTCATAGAGAGTATAAACGAACAAATCATCCCGTACGACATGAATTTTGTACAATACGGTTAGTTTAAAAATTTTCAAATTTTAAACACTCCCCCAGTGTGTGTGTGCACAGTTACTCAATCACAATCACATAATCTCAGACTCAATAAAAAAAATTACATACTCCAATTATAATAAAACATAATCTAATCTAATTTAAAGTCTTCAATAATCTGGAGTATGATTTCTCTTAAATATTAGTACACACAAACAATAAAAACAATACATCCAAAACATGTTAGGAGTAATTATAATTAAAATAATAATATTTGAAATCATAAAAAAACATACATGTTGCAAGAATATCAACAATCGAAAAACTATGCTGCAAGAATCTCAACATTTATGACATATTGCAGTGGTTTAAACACATACTAATTTATTTGCAGCGGTTTAGGAATCGCTGCACATCTGCTGTATTTGCTTTCGCTTGAAAGGCTTTAGCAGCGATTTCACAAATGCTGTTAAAGGAATGTTTTATCAACACTTTTAGCAGGTGTTAAAATCTTTGATGGAGGAAAAAGATATTCCATATAATCATTAAAATTAACTGATTCAGGCTGAGGAACTAAAACCAAATAACTCATCTTCGAAAGAGGTGTTTAGGGAAATACAAAAGTTACTTTTTTCCTTTAAAAGAATGTTCAAAATTTGAAACTAGGTGCGGATGAATGGGGGAATAAAGGTCAAACCATATTGTGAAAATTTAAAAAGTCAAGCGGATGGGGATTCGACAATGCCGGGCTTAGCTATCGGACGTCGGGATGCTCGTCAAATGCAGCTATTGGACGAGATGCTTGCCAAATGCAATTATTAGGCGGGCGCATGAAGGAAGCTACACTCACACACTGTAGAACAAGAGAGTTGTGGATTAGGACAGAATTTGAATTAATAGATTCGTTTTTAACAGCTATGAAAACTGCTGTTTATATGACATATAGCACCGGTTTTCAAACCGCTAGTAATAATTGATGCAATATCCTCATATTTTTGGTAGTGATTATATTTACAATGAATAAAATAGGTGACATGGAAATGTTTATATTGATCAATTTATCACTTTTAACAAATTCACAAGCATACAATGATTAGATGTGCAATATAAGTTTTAATTAACTTTATATTTTGTGTGATTAAATTAAAAAATTCATAGAGCTTTAATGATTTGAAGGTTATTCAAACATAATTGATTCATACTTATACTGAATATTTGGGGTGATTATAAGCTTAATTAGCATTAACCCTATTAATTGCATTACTTAATTGATTATTATATAATTTAAGAAAATTTTCTCTATTAGGTTTTCATTGTGAGTATTTCCAAGGAATGATTTATTAAATAATAAAAGTGATTTATCCATTAATTCATTAATTAGGATAATTATGAAATTAATTTATGTTTACCTAATAAATTACATAAACAATGAAAAAGAAAATAAGAAAACTAAAGAACTAAAATCAAATAGATAGCTCTCTATCCCTAAAGAAAGGGATTTATAGTTCCAACAGGTCCTCATTAACATATTAGGAAGCCAAAAAAATATTCATACTTTCTTATTAATTTAATAGTTACTAAGCTGAATTAACACTTTATTAATTTTATTTTAAAATATCCATAAACAAAAAATTAAGTGTCTTATTTTTATAATATAGAGCGTATTTTTGATAACTTTAAATGATATAATAGTTTTAAAAAATCCAAATCAATTCAAATTGAGCTCCATTTTTATGAAATTTTCTTCTAGATTCTTCTAATTTCTCAAAAAAATTCAAAAATTTAAGCTCGTCTTAATAGCAAATAGAAATTTCATTATAGAAACATTAAAAATTTATATAAACTTTAGAATAATTCAAAATAATTATAATTTTAATAGAACATTTTTTAGGTTTTCATGAACTTTTTCACGAACTTCAAAGAAATATTTTGTTTTTCTAGATA